TTGATATAATATAACTTGACCAGTTTAATGAATTCAAAGAGAATCCAAGTAATTAGTAAAAATATAATTTGATTTATAAAAATTAAAGATATATTTTAAAAAATAATATTGAAATAGTAATATATTAAATCGACCCGAGCCAACACGGACTAACCTTCTAAACTTTCAACCTAGATCATAACACGATGATAACTCCATATACAGTAAATTAAAAAAAATATAAAACTCAATTCTAATCAATTAAATATTAAATAATAAAATTAAAAAAATAGCTTGAGTTCACCTGTTAAACTCATGACTCAGGTCATGAAATTTGGATAACCTCATAGAAAGTAAACAAAAAAATAATCAGAGTTAAACTACCAAACCTGTAACCAAAGTCATGAGACTATGATAATCTTATAAAAGAAAATAAAAAAAATACAAAGATAAATTTTCAATAAACCTATTATTGAAGGTTGAAAATTAAAAAAAATAATCTAAAAACAAGATACAATAAAATGATCTGAATCTACCAAAGTTAACTCACAAAATACATAACCCAAGTTATAAAACTGAGATAACCTTATAAAAAATAAATCAAAATAAATTATAAAACATAATTTATAGTCAACTTCATGTTGAATAATGAAATTGAAAAAATTTCAATTAAAAAAAAAACAAAAAAAACTAGAGTTGACTAGGTTAACCCCTTAAACCCGCAAACTAAGTCATGAGACCGGGATAACCTAATAAAAAATAAATCAAATTAAATTATATAGTCTAATTCTCAATTAACACAAAATTGAAGAATGAAATTGAAAAAAAAATATTAATTAAAAAAGACAAAACAAACTTGAGTCAATTGAGTTAACTCATCAAACTCGTAATATGGGTTATAAAACCGAGCTACTCACATATAAAGTAAACCATAATAAATTATGAAATTCAATATCCAATCAATTAAATGTTAAAATATGAAATTAGAGAGAAAAATATAGATTTAGAAAAAAAAAATCTAAAGAAAAAAAATAAAAAAAACCTATAAAATTAACTGTATTTTATGATGTGGTGCACAATAAAAGCATCACCTTTTTTAGTTTATACTATAACTAGATTGGTGCCTTCTGTGATGTCATGAGCAAATCAAAACAAAATATTTTTTAATAAAAAAACGAGATAATTGTGTTTTTAAATAAGAAAATCAATAACTAAGTTAAATATTAATTAATTAATAATATTATACAAAATGAGGTAATAACAACAAATAAAATAAATATATTGCCCAAGTAAAATTAGACTAACACGTTAAACTCGAGCCATGAGATAAGTCCAAATTATATGCCTATCGTGCATATGAGGTAATGAATTTAGGATAATTCAATAGAAAAAAAATGATGTTAAGTAAAAACAAAACTAAAAAAATTAAGAGACAAATGTAGACAATATCGATCATTTACCCGATTATGTTTAATAATTTTTTTTATTAAAATTAATTTGTAATAGAAATCAATACACATATAAATATTTTTGTATAAAATAAAAGAATATAAAATATTATGCAAGGCTGTACATAATAAATATATTATAAAAAATAAACTTTTTAAAATAAGTTTAATAAAATAAAAAAAAATTACAAATAAATTATAATAACTTACTCAAAAATTAAATACATTCAATATAATTAAAAACTTATCGTCATTTTAAAAATGCTAAATAAACAAAAAAAATAACAAAGAATGGGTATTTATTAAAACATAAACTTAAAACCCATGTAAAAAAACATATAAAAATATATTAATTAAAAAAAAGAAAAAAAAAAGAAAAACAAAAGGAACGAGGTTAAATATTGTTGGGCCTGGTAAGCCAAGATAAGTATCTAACCCATAAAAAAATAGCCCATTTGTAAGCCTTTTATTTATTTTTCAAGTTAAGCCCCAATTGTTTTGAAAAAAATAAACTACACATTATCTAGATTCTCAAATTACAATCATTATGGTGACCGAAAAACTGGGGTTCATATGCTGCTATCCAAAAACCCTTTTTAATCTATTTTTGATCTAAAGAATTTAAAAAAACACCATAGAAACCTTTTTAATCAATTCATAGTCTCAAAAAACACAAAAGAAAACGCCTTAAAACTGGAAATAAAAAATCTTCCCAAAATTAAATCTATTTTTTAGGCAAAAAAAAAATTTATGGTTCAAATTTCTCTTATCATATGAAACCATTTGACATAAAAATCAATTGTTTTAATGGTCAGAATCATAGCCAATAATAGCTTTCTCTCTTTGTGCTGGAGTTCGATGAATCCCCCTCTCTTCTAAAAAAAAAAAGTTGAATATAAAAAAAATAAAGTTTAGTATCAAAATTAAAATTTTGAAAAATAAAGGAACCAACTGTCTAAAAGCAAACAAGACGAGGGATGAAAATAAAATTTAAAACAAAAATAAAAAATATTATTTATTTCATTTTAATCCTTTGTTTTTTAATTTAACCCTCTCTCCCTAAAAAAATACGTAAAT